TTCACTGCCAACCCAACAGCATGTCATTCAGATCTACTAACTGCTTTGTTGTTGTTGTTATGTGCTGTCGAGTCACGACTCATAACAACCCTATGTACAACAGCCTAAACTCTGCTCTGTCCTGTGCCAATTGCACTGTCTCTGATACACCCATCCTGATTAACCCAGTCACTCATTCAATCCACCTCATAGAGGGCCTTCCCTTCCTGCACTGTCCCTCCACCCTACCAAGCATGAATGTCCCTCTCCAAGGACCGGTCCCTCCTTACAACATATCCAAAGTATGTTAGACAAAGCCTCAGAATCCTTGCCTCCAAGGAACAGCCTGGTTTAACCCTCTCTAGGATTAATCTGTTTGTTTTCTTGGCAGTCCATGGTACATTCAATACTCTTCTCCAGCACCACAGCTCAAAGGCTTCAATTCTCCTTCTGTTCTCCTTAGTCATTGTCCAACTCTCTGATGCATAACAAGTGATAGCAAAGACCATGGCCTGTATCAGATGCACCTTAGTCTCCAGAGAGCCACCATTGCTCTTCAGTACTTTGGAGAGGTCCCTAACAGCAGACTTTTCCATCTCAATACGTCTTTTAATTTCCTGGCTACTGGTGCCAAGAGTGTTGACTGTGGAGCCAAACAAACCTAAAGCTGTGAACAATCTCAATATCTGCACTGTAGGGGGGGAAATGCAATCTCCTATTATATAATTTACAGGCACTGAAAACCTGCTGGAGGGTCATCTATGAGGGTCACCTATGCTTGAGGGTCACTTAATAATACATAACAACAATTTTTCAAACTCTTAAATGTCCCCCTTGATTTTCTTTTGTTAATTTATAATTTTATTGCATTTTGATCTGAGAAGATACCTTGTAGCATTTTAATGGTTTTTAATTTATTGAAGCTTGCTTTTTGATATAACATGTGGTCTATTCTGGAGAATTTTTCACTTGCATTGGAGAAGCATATTGTTATCTTGGGTATAATGTTACACATATTTGTATTCACATAAATTGTTGCTGAAGAATGGGAATCCTAAAGCACTTAATTGTGCTTATCTATGTGCAAAATCTATGCCTAGACCAGGGGCTGTTGTGTGAACAGAGCAAGGGAACACGGCATTGTTTAAAATTTAGAAGGAAGTGTGTCAGGCTTGTATTATCTCTCCATACCTATTCAGTTTATATGTAAGCAAACTGTTCAGTAAACTAGATTTATGAAGAAGAATGTGGCATCAGGATCAGAGGGAGATTCATCGTTATGCAGATGAGCCAACCTTGCTTCCTGAAAGTGAGGAGGAATTGAACCATTTATTGAAAAAGATCAAAGAATACAGTCTAAAATATAGTTTCTATCTTATCTTAATATCAAGAAAACTAACAAAGATTCTTACCACTGGACTGACAGGCAACTTTATAATAGATGAAGAAAAGATTTAAACTGTCAACAGCTTAATCTTACCTGGATCCACAATTAACACACTTGGTACCAGCTGTCAGGAAATTAAGAGATATTGCACTGGGAAAGTCTGCAGTTAAGGATTTCTCCAAATTATTAAGGAGTGATGATGTTAGTTTGAGGACTAAGGGGCCATAGTCTTTCCGATCACTTGCTATGCATCTGAGAGCTGGACAATGAATAAGGATGACAGAAGAATTGAACTCTGGTATTGGAGAAGAGTAATGAATGTCCCATAGACTGCCAAAAGAACAAACATGTCATGGAGTGGGTGCAGCCTGAGTGCTCTTTGGAGGCAAGGAGGATAAGTGAGGCTTCCCTTCACATACTTTAGGCATGTTGCTAGGAGGGGCTTTTGGAGAGGAACATGATTCTCGGGAGGGTAGAGGAACAGCAAAGGAGAGGGAGATCTTTGACAAGGTAGATTGACATGGCAACTGATGCTCTAATATGTCAGAAAGTGTGCGGCTGGCACAGGATAGGACAGGGTTCAGCTCTGTTGTTCATACGGTCACTATGGGTGATACTTGACTGTACCCAACAACAACTACCAACAATTTGTTGTTAATTTCTTTGTTCCATTGATTTTGTGCTGACATATTTGTGTTTTTTACTTTTCTTCTAATTCCCCCTCTTTGCTATTGTTGTAGTGTTTACTAAACCTTTATGATTTTTCTTCTTTTCTGTTTTTATGAGGTTTATGAATTTTCTTTGATGTGGGGCTGTAAGCTACCCCCAAGTCTAAATTAATTAAATTTATATTGAATTTGTCTTGATTTCCTATTAATTTGAAAATTATTTAACTATATTTCTTATTTCTTCTTTTTACTTTATAGTTATCTTACTTACTGATACCTCTGCTTTCCTGTTCTGAGTTTTATTTCCTTAGTCTTTTTTTTTCCACTTTTTTAAAATTTAATTTTATTATTTTTGTGTGAGTGTACCGTCAAATCAGATCTGACTGGTACAGGAGGAGATTGTCCCTCCTTCCCCGGCAGAGCATCTGGTGGCTTCGAACCGTGTGCCTCTGAGATTGTAATTGCAGCTCCTTGCCACTAGGTCACCAGAGCTCCCCTTTATTTCCTTAATCTGAGAGGTTTATTATTCTTCGTGCATTTGTGAGTCTTGATTCACTTCTGAACAATATTATGAGGTATGTTAACCTTCAGACTCTTGTTTGACATTTTTGTTTTTCTTTCTAAAATATTCTCTTTAGTACTTTTTGTAAAGTTGCTCTTGTTGTCACACCATCCCTTAGGTTATGTTTATGTGGAAATACCTTCATTTAGCTGTCATACTTCAAGGATAGCTTTGGTGGATATATAATTATTGATTGGGAGTTATTTTTTCCTCCACAGCTTTATTCCCCTACACCCACCCCCGAGTCTTCTCATTGCCTTTTTGCTTTCATGATTTCTACTGAGAAATGAGACTTAGTCTTACACTTTTATCAATACTCTTTGTCTTTGATTTTTGAAAATTTGAGTATAAAATGTATTGCACCTTCCTTTTGGGGATCTGTCCTATTTGAGCTTTGCTCAGCTTCTTGAATGCATGTTTTCTTCTTTTCCATAGTATTTAGAAGTTTTCTTCTAGCAAATCCTCAAAAGTTCCTCAGTGTTTCTTCTTTTCTGTCTCGGAATTCCAATCAAATTATCATATAAGATATTTATATTAATAAGTCTAACATAATTCTTATATTTTCTTCATTTCATGTCCTTCTTTATCTTATTATTTCTTTAACAGAATAGTACTGAAAGATTTGTCTTACGTCTTACTAATGCTTCACTGGTTTTAATAAATTATACTCTTTATTTCCTTCTAAAGTGTTACCTATTTCTGAAATTGTTGTTGTTGTTGTTGTTGTTATGTGCCGTCGAGTCGTTTGCGACTCATAGCG